CTCCCGTTCCTCGAGTTACTATAAAACACCGTCACATCTTCAAAACGCCTTTTGTTTTCATTTGCGCAGCATCTGTCATCTGTTTTGTAGGAGACGTGCGGTTGTGACATCAGTTCCACCCGAGCTAATAATATCTCTCATCCGCCAAGAGCACATCAGCAAGGTTTATAAAGCAAATAAGATAGCCTGAAATAAACCACTACTGACAAGATACACCGGTTTACTGACAAGGTGCGCAGTGATAGCGCTGTTTTCACTTTAACTCACTTATCTGAGTGTCAGGACCACGTTATCTGGGAACAACGGCACAATATCACGACGAAACAGACATAAAAGCTGCTGGAATTCATGCACTGATCTTATTCATCAGACTTTCAGTACATTATTACTTTCCAAAAATATCCATCTTTAAAGCATTACACACATGGCCCGCGGAAAGAAAAGCACCACAAATAATGCACCTTTCCTTATAAAGCACAAAAAACATGTTGAGGTGAGTCAGTGGAGGTTTTAAAGCACTTTTCCCATAATTCTCATCACCTCTGAAAATATGAAATATACGCCAGCTATGAGAGAGAAACTTTCATACTCCACCAAACAAAACACTACAGACCTGACCGAGAGGATGAAAAAAGCACCCTGTTCTTGATCAGAAAGCCATTCAGGCACTGCAAACACTGCATGATTGAATAAGGACGTTTGCCATTTTCTCTCTGGCGAACGTTATTAAGATTCATAACCTCTTGGTCACATTTTCTCATAGACGAGCTCACCGGAAGGACCCTCAAGGTACAACAAACACCTTTTTCCATTTACAAGGTAGAAATGTGATCTGCGGTTTATTCACAAGGGAATCCAGAGATATTAACCCACAGATTAAAGTGTGTGCCAGGACACGATTCATGTCCAGAAACTCTCCTGTTTCTTAAACGTTTCTTGTCTTATGCCAAGTAATTCCTCATGAGTCTCTCCTAGAGTATCAGAAGAGATTGCAACAACTGGCAGATGAATCCATATTCATTTTACAGATCTATAATCTTACTCGGTCAACTACTCACTCATTAGTGAGCATTTGTATCTATTCAAATGTATTTTAAAGAAAAACATGGGAGTAAATTCCTAAATAAATTATGCATGATAATTTAGAATTTGCTTAAAATGCATTCACAAATATGAAAAAGTTTGAATGAGAGCTTGATTATTCTGAAGGTTTTAAATATGTTGAGGTTTTGAAGGTTATTTATGCCATATGTGCACAAAGGTGGTTAATAGGCAGTTGCTAAGCTGTTCTGAATAGTTGCTAAGTGGTTGCATGATGGAAATACAGACAGCCAGACAGAGAACACAAGCAGTGTAAGTTTAAGGGAATTTTGGGATATTTCGTTATTTTAAACACAACCTCATTGCATCACCTGAGCTATGAAACAGCAAAGTCTAAGCAATACATTTTACATTTTCTTTTGGGAAATACAAAGTTCTGTCATGACTCATGAAACTGGCTGACAGGTCCTTAACTCAATCTGCTTGCAACCACATCATTCTCTATAGGGCAGAGCTGATTAGTTGCTCAGCCTTCAAATACTTGGTCAGCTTTTGCTGTAGCAGTGCAGTGCACTTCCAGAAACCCTCATAGATCTGCTACAGGTAATTTATTTACGTTATGCTGCAGCGTACAGCAGCGTGTCTTACTTGCTCACAGCAGCCTACCGTGTATGTACTGGCAGTAGCAAGACGTATTTGCTCTGCAGCAGCAATAACCAAAATCAGCAACAATAACCAAAATCAGCAACAATAACAGCAGCAGCAATAACCAAAATCAGTAGCAATAACAGCAGCAGCAATAACCAAAATCAGCAGCAATAACCAAAATCAGCAGCAATAAATCAGCAGCATTAACAGCAGCAGCACTAATCAAAATCAGCAACATTAACAGCAGCAGCAATAACCAACAGCAGCAGCAATAACCAAAATCAGCTGCAAAAAAACAAAATCAGCAGCAATAACAGCAGAAATAACCAAAACCAGCAGCCATAACAGCAGCAGCAATAACAGCAGCAGCAATAACTCAAATCAGCAGCAATAACCAAAATCAGTCGCAAAAAACAAAATCAGCAGCAATAACCAAATTCAGCAGCAATAACAGCAGTAGCACTAACCAACAGCAGCAGCACTAACCAAAATCAGCAGCACTAACCAAAATCAACAGCAATAACCAAAATCAGCAGCAATAACCAAAATCAGCAGCACAAACCAAAATCAGCAGCAATAACCAAAATCAGCGAGACGGTGCTCACTGCGGAACATGAAATCCACGGGGAGGAGTCGGATCCAGATCCAACTCCTCCCACCTTACATACACCTAAACCTAACCAACTCCGCCCCCTGATCCCTAAACCCACCCCTAGTCCCTAAACCCAACCCATCTCCACCCCTTGGATCGTGATCCGACTCCTCCCCGTGGATCTCATGTTCTGCATTGAGGTGCTACTGAAATCAGCAGCACTAACCAAAATCAGCAGCAATAACCAAAATCAGCAGCAATAACCAAAATCAGCAGCAATAACAGCAGCAGCAATAACAAAAATCAGCAGCAATAACCAAATTCAGCAGCACTAACCAAAATCAGCGGCAATAACCAAAATCAGCAGCAATAACCAAATTCAGCAGCACTAACCAAAATCAGCAGCACTAACCAAAATCTGCAGCAATAACAGCAGCAGCAATAACAAAAATCAGCAGCAATAACCAAATTCAGCAGCACTAACCAAAATCAGCGGCAATAACCAAAATCAGCAGCAATAACCAAATTCAGCAGCACTAACCAAAATCAGCAGCACTAACCAAAATCAGCAGCACTAACCAAAATCAACAGCAATAACCAAAATCAGCAGCACTAACCAAAATCAGCAGCACTAACCAAAATCAGCAGCACGAACCAAAATCAGCAGCAATAACCAAAATCAGCGAGATGGTGCTCACTGCGGAACATGAAATCCACGAGGAGGAGTCGGATCCAGATCCAACTCCTCCCACCTTACATACACCTAAACCTAACCAACTCCGCCCCCTGATCCCTAAACCCACCCCTAGTCCCTAAACCCAACCCATCTCCACCCCTTGGATCGTGATCCGACTCCTCCCCGTGGATCTCATGTTCTGCATTGAGGTGCTACTGAAATCAGCAGCACTAAACAAAATCAGCAGCAATAACCAAAATCAGCAGCACTAACCAAAATCAGCAGCACTAACCAAAATCAGCAGCAATAACCAAAATCAGCAGCAATAACCAAAATCAGCAGCACTAACCAAAATCTGCAGCAATAACAGCAGCAGCAATAACAAAAATCAGCAGCAATAACCAAATTCAGCAGCAATAACCAAATTCAGCAGCACTAACCAAAATCAGCGGCAATAACCAAAATCAGCAGCAATAACCAAATTCAGCAGCACTAACCAAAATCAGCAGCACTAACCAAAATCTGCAGCAATAACAGCAGCAGCAATAACCAAAATCAGTAGCAATAACCAAATTCAGCAGCACTAACCAAAATCAGCAGCAATAACCAAATTCAGCAGCAATAACCAATTCAGCAGCAATAACAGCAGCAGCAATAACCAAAATCAGCAGCAATAACCAAAATCAGCAGCAATAACCAAATTCAGCAGCAATAACCAAATTCAGCAGCAATAACAGCAGCAGCAATAACCAAAATCAGCAGCAATAACCAAAATCAGCAGCAATAACCAAAATCAGCAGCAAAAACCAAATTCAGCAGCAATAAACAAATTCAGCAGCAATAACAGCAGTAGCACTAACCAAAATCAGCAGCACTAACCAAAATCAGCAGCACTAACCAAAATCAACAGCAATAACCAAAATCAGCAGCACTAACCAAAATCAGCAGCACTAACCAAAATCAGCAGCACGAACCAAAATCAGCAGCAATAACCAAAATCAGCGAGATGGTGCTCACTGCGGAACATGAAATCCACGAGGAGGAGTCGGATCCAGATCCAACTCCTCCCACCTTACATACACCTAAACCTAACCAACTCCGCCCCCTGATCCCTAAACCCACCCCTAGTCCCTAAACCCAACCCATCTCCACCCCTTGGATCGTGATCCGACTCCTCCCCGTGGATCTCATGTTCTGCATTGAGGTGCTACTGAAATCAGCAGCACTAACCAAAATCAGCAGCAATAACCAAAATCAGCAGCACTAACCAAAATCAGCAGCACTAACCAAAATCAGCAGCAATAACCAAAATCAGCAGCACTAACCAAAATCTGCAGCAATAACAGCAGCAGCAATAACAAAAATCAGCAGCAATAACCAAATTCAGCAGCAATAACCAAATTCAGCAGCACTAACCAAAATCAGCGGCAATAACCAAAATCAGCAGCAATAACCAAATTCAGCAGCACTAACCAAAATCAGCAGCACTAACCAAAATCTGCAGCAATAACAGCAGCAGCAATAACCAAAATCAGTAGCAATAACCAAATTCAGCAGCAATAACCAAAATCAGCAGCAATAACAGCAGTAGCACTAACCAACAGCAGCAGCAATAACCAAAATCAGCAGCAATAACAGCAGCAGCAATAACCACATTCAGCAGCTCTAACCAAATTCAGCAAGTCAAAGTCAAGTCAAAGTTTATTTATTAAGCACTTTTTAAAAACAGAAAGTGTTCATCAAAGTGCTGAACACACAAATCCCATATCAATGGTAAAAACCGTCAACAGCACATAAAACAACAAGGCAACTCTCACACAGCATCAAATGCCAAACGCCAACGCTTTAAATGTTCTTTAAAAATAGTAACAATAGTATTAGCAACAATACCACCGTAGCAGATCTATTCGGCCAAGACCAAACATATTTACATAGTCATATCCATTTCCATCCCAAACACTCCAAGAGTTGCTCCATACAGAATAACACACACCACTGAACTGACGTAAACAGACTCAAAGCACTCAAGGAGCCAGTGTTTACCTGCGGAATCCTCCAGTAATGTGGACGGTGGCGTGTGGGTTTACACACATAACAGCTTCTTCCACTATGATCTTCAGCGCGCTGGCCTCGGTCCTGCTCACCGGCTTACTGATGTCCTCGTAGAACAAGAACCCTGCGACAAGAGCGGATGGATGCAAGATTTACTGACAAACACCCAAGAAGTGTTGCACAAACTAGACTTTTACACTGTCTGAAGAAAACGTGAGACGTGTTGACCTAGGAAACCTCTCCCCCATGATGCTATTTTTTTACGTGGCTAACGTGCGTTTAAAAGACGTCTAATAGTGTCCAAACACAGCTCAGATGTCTAGGCCAAAACTAGGCAAACTTTGGGCTGTCAGTGAAACTTGTCATCAGCTAGATAAAGAAATTAAATGAGTGAAGTAATGAAACCAAACACCTCGTAATCACTGTTTACTTTGCGTACATGATGGAATATCATACGTCTCACAAGGTATTTTGGCAAAAACTACATGTAACCAAATTCAAGAAATGTGTCACTCATAGCCGGACTACATCGGGTCTATAGTTATCCTAGATGATGAATAATGCTGGGTGTGTTCAGAATGAACTATTTATTAGAGCCGACCGATAAAGGATTTTGAAGGCCGATACCGATACAAATATTTGTTGGTTTTAAAATCCGATATATCGGCCGATATTATAATTTTTTTTTTTCAGAAACGCGCAACAAAATATTAACAGATTTCCCTAACATTAATAATTTGTAGTTAATTATGAGTTTTAACAATATGATAATGCATAACTGGTTCTCTCTGCCCGACTCTGGCTGGATCAGCAGGTTGCAGGCGCGTTATACACGAGTGTTGCCGACAGGGACGGTGTAGAGCGCCCTCTGGTGGACAAACTATACAACTCCAACACTCATGACATGGTTCAAGCGTGTTTCGTCCGTTTTTATTTTATTTTTGAAATATTCATTTATCGGCCATTATAACTGCCGATACCGATATTTTAGAAAATGCCTAATATCGGCCGATAATATCGGCCTGCTGATATATCGGTCTGGCTCTAATATTTATCAAGATCATGTGAAATAAAACAACCACCAATATGCAATTAAAACACCCAAATCTTAAATTCAGGCCTAAATATTTGTGTGTGGAGTTTAGGGGTTTCATCACATCCTTAACACTAACTATTAGCAATAGCAGTGATGGTTGACCTAGCACCTTTACTGTTAATTATGGGTTATTGTCAAATTAGAGTCCAATGCCGTCTACAAATGTGACGCCTGAACTTTCATGCTGTTCTGGACGGTTAAACACCACTAAAAGTGATTTAATAGTGCAGTTTCAGAACTGAACCTATCGCTAAAACACACAATCCAACAGTGTTTATTAGCTCATTCTCTATTTGTTCAACGAGTGTTTCGCACTAGTGGTTTGTGTGAGAAACATTAATTACAGACTCATTTCCTCTTGAGATCACACACACATCCCAGTGCTGTTAACCTTCTTTCACTTACAAAATCTAATATATGGTAAATATATAAATCATATCATAATTGACTATGGCATTTACCTTAAAGTAAAGCATAGCAGCACATGCACTCAATTTAATATGGTACTATCGGGTGTTAAATGCCCAAAAAACTTCTAGTCTTCATATTGGCTTGTTTGATCTGCTTTCTAATACTGTAATCTCCTTCTGTCACACTTGATAGAGCACAGCCGAATTCATATTCTACACAGAGAAAATTATTTTTAGTGATAAAGCAAACTGAGTGACAGACATGCATAAAAGTAAATGTAAAATGTAAGTCACCCAAAATAGAGGAGAGATCCATCAATCAAAGTCGTAGTTAGCAAACGGGAATTTATAGTTATATATATTTGTGTATAAATTAATACTTTGCAAAGAAAGTTAAACTAATTGTTCTACACTATTAAAAGTCTGAGAATAATATGATTTTTTAATGTTTCTGAAAGAAGTCTCTTCTGCTTACAAAGGCTGGATTTATTTGATCAAAAAAACAGTAACAAGTTTTGAAATATTATTACAATTTACAATGTGAATAAATATTCCCAAATTTTTAGCATCATTACTCAGAAATCAGAAATCACTCTAATATGAGGATTTGATGCTCAAGAAACATTTATGATTATTATCACTTTATCAGAGTTGAAAACAGTTGTGCTACTCCATATATAACCGTGATTATTATTTTTTTCCAGGATTCTTTGGTGAATAAAAAGTTCAAAAGAACAACAATTTTTCAAAATATGAACAAAACTGACTTTTTTTTTTAATAAATTGTGCCGTTTCTCAGCACTTTTAGAGAAAAGATAATATTTTATGACATTCACTGAAGTTTTACACTTGTTTTCAACCTTTATGTTTTGCATAAGTGAGCATTTTAAAATATAGCTATCACAAGCACACAGCCAGAGAAATCTCTCGCCTGCACCGCCAAATCTCACAAACCAAATCTGCATAATTGTTTTAAGCCGGCGTGTTGTTTATAGATCAGCAGGTCGTAAATGAGCGCCTGAAGACAGCGGCGGAAAATTACGAGGCCTGACGACTGAAAAACAGTAGCGATGTGATCTCTCTTACAGTAGATTTTCCAAAACAATCAGTAAATCAGACCCGAGGCCTTAAACAACGGGTCAGGTAAGGTAATCGCTTTTAAAGGTAACAATAAAATCATATCATAATTCATAGACGAGATGACAGCGGGAACACGGCTGGCCTTTTCTCAGTCTGATTGATGAGCTCTGAATGTATAACCAGCAAAACCGTCACATTTTCCCACGTCCTCCTCGCGACTCCCAGGAGGGCTTTAATGCAGTGTGTGATGCTCAATGGAGCCGGACTCATTGATAAGCATATTTCTACATATTATTATCTGAAAACTGAAGCAGTGAACATGAGTTAAACACAGTGATATCAGCAGCACAGAAGCCCTCTGTCCCACACACACACACACACTCACTCAGAGGCCGATGACTGCATAAAAATGACCAGGAAACGATGATGGGGTTTGGCAGGAACATTTATCATGTCCACACTGTGTTTTCATTCTGAGAGTGAAAGATTGGGAGGTCTGGCTGATAAAAACTCTTCCAATGAATCTGAATCCACACTATATTATCTTGGACACATACACTGGTGAATATTTATGTGCATGGTAAAAACATTGTATTCCTGGAAGTAAATATAGGATTCTATAGTGCAATATTTATCTGCCAATTCAATATGTACTGAGATTGTTTTAAAGGGTTAGTTCACCCAAAAATGAAAATTAAGTCATTAATTACTCACCCCCATGCCTCTTGACGGCCCAGAAAGTCAATGAAGAAAATGTTTAAATATCCCAAGTGACTACCGTGGCTCAACTATATGTTTATCAAGCGACGCGAATACTTTTTGTGCGAAAAAACAAACAAAAATAACGAGTTTATTCGACTATTTCTTTTCTTCCTTGTAGGCCAGAACGAGAATTCCTTAGATTTCCACGACGCATGCGCTAGATTTGCGATCTGCTCACACCAGCTTACACTACTTCAGATCGCAATTCTCGCGCATGCGTCGTGGAAATCTAAGGAATTCTCGTTCTGGCCTACAAGGAAGAAAAGAAATAGTCGAATAAACTCGTTATTTTTGTTTGTTTTTTCGCACAAAAAGTATTCGCGTCGCTTGATAAACATATAGTTGAGCCACGGTAGTCATTTGGGATATTTAAACATTTTCTTCATTGACTTTCTGGGCCGTCAAGAGGCAGTCCTTTAGGAGCCAATGTGGTAGTTATACAGCTCTCAAATTTAATCAAAAATATCTTCATTTGTGTTCCGAAGACGAACGAAGGTCTTACGGGGTTGGTACAGCATGGGGGTGAGTAATTAATGACTTAATTTTCATTTTTGGGTGAACTAACCCTTTAAGTACCCTGGTCACTAATTTTGTCCTTTAAAACTCATCTTTGATCACCAAAATAACATGTCCTTGAAAAAAAATTCTTCATGCCTTAAAATATCTTGAATGTAACTCGACACCCTTGCCTCATTTAGTAAATGTGGTTCTATAAATATGCAAATGATCTCCGCCTCCACTCACTCACTAAGCTCAGAGATCCACTGGTTGACAATCACATGTTGATCTGATTGGTTACAAGTTCGTTTGTGACGTCAGAAAGACCAGTTTTAAGGAGAAAATACTGTATATATATATATATATATATATATATATATATATATGAAGAGTTCAGATGCAAAAGCCTCTAAGTGCCATTTGAAATTTTCTTCAAGAATGATCATTTTTATCAAGCTTGTATATTTAAGTTCAGTGATTTCACTTAAATGGCAATGATAATTACCTATTAATTGTTATCTAAGTGAAATTACTGAACTTAAATATACAAGTTTGATAAAAATCATCAATAAAGAAGAAAATCCAAAATAAAAGTCTGTGTTTACATAATATACTTGTGTGTGCTGTATGAAATTATTTTGTATATATAAATACCTATGCATGCATGTATATATTTAAGAATTATTTGCGCTTAAATTCTGTGTATATATATATATATATATATATATACATAATCTATATTATATAAATAAAAATATTTTATATATGAATAACACATTTTATTAAATATATACATGCATGTGTGTGTATTTATATATACAAAATAATTATATACAGCACACACAAATATATTATGTCAACACAGACTTTTATTTTGGATGCGATTAATCGCAATTCATTTTTGCACAGACCTAATATATATATATATATATATGTATATATATAAAGTATCACCATGGAATATGTCCAAAAAAATGTTTTTTTAATAGGAGAATGTGGAAAAAAAAAACATTATAATGCAATGATATTCTGTTTACTTGGGGCTGAATAAAAATGTATTTTACAAATTGTGATTCACGCAATCATCACCATACTGAAAAATAGCTTTTAAAAAACTAATTTGTCAACCAGTGTATCTCTGAGCTGAGTGAGTGAGTGAGTGTAGGCGGAGCTCATTTGCATATTCATAGAACCACGTATACTAAATGAGGCAAGGGTGTCGCGTTACACTCACGATATTTTAAGGCATGAAGATTTTTTTTCATGGAACAATCATTTAAATATGTAATTTTGATGATTTTTAAGGGATAAAATGATTGGCTACAGGGAGTCTGAAGTTCTGACATCACTGTTTACCTGCGGTCTGCATGCGGTTCAGTCTGATACTGGGTTCAGTCAGAACCTGTTCAAACGTGCGGAGTCCTCTACAGTACCAGCTCTCTGCGGTTTTGGGTCCGACCCCGAACACACTGCTGAACAACTGAGACACAAACATTATCAGACACACACACACTTCTACACCTGCTAATCTCTGAAGTCGCAGAGAGCTTTACTTCACCTTCATAGTTCGGTACCTCTCGTCATTCAGTGTGTCTTCAGCTCTGGAGGATGATCCGCATTCAAAGATCTCCTAGATGAAGACCGAGACAGATGCACAAACAGTTAAAATCCTGCTATGATTAAACACGGTAACTGTAAATAATCTGCACACACACACCGTCCGGGTTAATTGCAGCTTAATAACTCTAATGAAATGCTCATTGCGTTGTCTCCCACAGCTCTCGCGCTGTTGTGTAAATGCTTTATTGACTGTCTTACAGTTTCTCCGCCTGCAGGAACCAGAACCAGTGTATTAATCACAGCCGGAGTGTGTTGGAAACACATTTATCACTGTAAATGTGAACGGTAATGACTGACTTTCCAATCAAACGCACTTCCTTCCTATTAAATAGAGTCAACTTAAACTGCACACAATTCAATATCATCAAAGAAATATGAAGCATTGGATTATTCATGAAGGGCAAGAGTGTTACTACAAATCCTATAACATTTATCACTGTACGTCACTCAGTTTTTAAAAGCTAATTGCCTTTAAATTTAAATTAAAACGGCATAATATTACAAGCTCTTCCTTGTATTCTCCAGATTTAAGCTGACACAGACTCACAAACACCAACATCTCTGCTTTCAAATATAAAACTAATGTTTATTATATACATAAAGGGCCAAATACTGTATAATTATATGAAATCTGAATTTAATCTATAAATCTTGAGTATAAAGTTATACACACACTACCACACCAAAGTTTGGAATAATTAACATTTGTATTGTTTTATAGTCCCTTCTGCTCACCAAGACTGCATTTATTTCATCAAAAACAGAGAAATATTTCAAGTTAAAATAACTGTTTTATTATACAAATGTTTTTAATGTTGTTTAAATGTCTATGTGGTGTTTTTAATATGATATATTTCTGCTTAAAACTGCAGTGAACCAAAGGCAGTCTCAAAGACACGGTGTGAAAAAAACAGTCTCAAAAAAACAGTGGAGGCGGGGCTAATCTGCATATCCATAGAACCACACATAGTAAATGAGTCAAGGGTGTCGAGTTACATTCAAGATTTTTTTTTTTCAAGGAAAAAATCGTTTAAATATGTGATTTTGGTGATCAATAAATTATTAATTTACAAAATGACATAAATTACAACTTAATTTTTTCCTCTCTACTATACTGAGAATTTTAGGGGAGCATGTGCTTCATTGTCATGACAATCGTTTTTTTTTGTTGTTGTTTTTTATAACAATGCAATTTCTAGATTTTTAAACATTAGCCAGATTTGTTCTTGACGGGTTGACCTGAGATTTTATCTATTTTAAAACCTACCAAACGTCGCTTTGTGAAATGTTTTGTTTTTCTTTCAGAACAATGTCTTTCTGTTTCCCCCTCGGGAAAATAAACAGCAGTGATGTGAAGGTGTATTAAACCCTCAGCAGGAGAAGAGCTGCTCTGATGACCTCAGACGTCAGCTGACTGATGATGCGGTTTCAGAGAGAGAGAGAGAGAGAGTCTACTGTCCACCACAGTGACCGTGAGTGAGTGAGTCAGTGAGTGAGTGAGTGTGTGGGTGAGTGAGTGATGGAGTGAGTGAGTGATGGAGTGAGTGAGTGAGTGAGTGAGTGAGTGAGTGATGGAGTGAGTGAGTGAGTGAGTGAGTGAGTGAGTGAGTGAGTGAGTGATGGAGTGAGTGAGTGAGTGAGTGAGTGAGTGAGTGAGTGAGTGAGTGATGGAGTGAGTGAGTGAGTGAGTGAGTGAGTGAGTGAGTGAGTGAGTGAGTGATGGAGTGAGTGAGTGAGTGAGTGAGTGAGTGAGTGATGGAGTGAGTGAGTG